AAATCGTTTATAAATTGAAGTAGGTCAACCACCGCCTAAGTGGGTCCCATTGGGAGCTGCTTGTGCGGTCTCGCGAAAATGCGAATATCTATCTACTCCGATGTCGTATTGACGAACGGTTTAATGCATTAGAAACTAGACTCGTAGACCTTCAATTTGGTAGGTATAACACCCCATGATTCCAAGTATATTGGGAGAAATTCTCAGATACATTTGACCTAAATTTCAGCAAATTTATGAATGTAACTTGTGATGACCTTTGCCAACTCTTGTTCCACAACTTGCTTGCCTTCAAAATGTAGAAAATGAATATCATACGACTAAAATAACTCATAGAATAACCTCCTTATCATGTTAATAACCCTAGTCTCACCCCAAAGTATATGTTATAACATTCAAAACTTGTCGACTTTCGACGAAACTTATTTTCTTCAATTGGTTTAGCTTCTAAGATTTCCAACCCTCTTGGTACTCGTTATTCATGATCTTAAATATTTGTAACCTTCAAGGTAACATGATTAACTTACTTTATTTTCTTCCAAATAGAATCTCATTTCCGAGCTTACATCAATGACTTACAACGTACTCTCACGTATGAAAACTTGGGGTGTATCATCGAGATTCACGTTGTGATAACCAGTTGGGCGTGGACATCACGACCCTTTATTAGTCGAGTGCGGTTGTTTTATAATACTCTCCGTGGTCTTGCGGCTCAAACCTAAATCGGAGGGCGTGGTCCCGATGTCCACAAGGGTAGGTGTTTTGCCCGAGCCCCGATATGAGGGGCTCCTCGCTCTAATTCCGATTCCTTACGATCACATCCCAGCTTCGCTTGACTCGCCGAAAAACTGGGGTATTCAGCGGGCACGGTTTGACCCGTATACAGATAGTCCCCTCATTTCTCAAAGAGTAGGCTTACCAAAACGATGAGAAATGACAGGTGCTTCACGATTCCTTCTTCAATACGCAGTAACATAAATGACAAAGAAGTCGAAACGTCCCCTTTTTTGTTTGATGAATTCATGCTTGACTTCGAATTGAGGCCTTTTATTTTGTCTAACTGGGTGGAATTTCGGATCCAAGCTTAGCTTATGAGTGGTTATTCCAGGCGGGATTCATGTCATGTCTAGATGGGACCAAGCAAAACATTCTACGTTAGTTGTAAGGAAATTAATGAGTTTTTTCCTAAGATCGGGGGTTAACCCCGTGCCCAGATATACCTTCCGATCGGGCAAGTGTTCGATCAGTATGACTTGGTCCAGCACCTCGACCGTTGATTTGGTGGCATCAGAATCATCAGGGGTAATGAACGACCTAAGAACTCCGTAATCATCATCATCGCCCGCTTCTTGCTTCTCTGATTCGGTCGGGGCTGGTGTCGGTGATTGCTATTTAGTTCCTTCCTTCCTAACCATCTCCGGGTTATTTGATGCCGAGAGTGCCTAAATTGGGATCACCACATCGACCGTGAACATTTCTTTTACGGCCGGCTGCTCCCCATAAACCGTCTTGATCCCTCTCGGTGTGGGGAACATTAGTGCCTGGTGTAGTGTCAAGGGTATTGCCCTCATGTTATGAATCTATGGCCTTCCAAATAGAGCATTATATCTCATATCCTCTTCAATCACATAGAACTTTATTTCCTGAATGGTCC